TCCACTGCCATTTTTCTTTCACTTTGGCATGATCACATGATTTCCCCTTTCTGTCTTTTCTCAGCCCTTGCTTCTAGGACATTGGAGGAAAGAGACGAAAATATAGTATATCACTTTACCTGTCTGCACTATATTGCGTGATGTGGAAAAGTCACTGAATTTCTTCATTCATCAGTTTCTACATCTTCAACCAAAGGGGTTGAGCCTGATGATAATTGGTTTCTCATTGTTGTGACACTCTGAGACACATATATGGGGATGGATATCCTCCATAGAGAAAGCATGATGATGGTTTTGATGCTGAGAAATTGACTTTCTATGAACTGAAAGATTTTACATTGATTCTTACTATAGAGCTGGGCCATTGCTATTGTGTCAGTTCTCTAATTTCAACTTATAGAGGCAGCTACACTGGGCTTTGTGGTTTCTTGTGTCCTTATTTATGAACTTGGTGCATAAAACCCTTCTTCATCTGATTAGAAGACTGAGGCAGCTAATCCTTTATCGATCACTCATGATTCTAACACACGTGTTATGCAAACACAGTGAGGTCTTTATGCATGAGGAGGCCTTGGCTGTGACAGAGCTATGACAACTCACACTCAGGCTGTGTCCTTTGTACTGTCCCTGGGACTGCTGACTTTCCTTCTCACTGCCTCAGAGTAAAACTTCTCTCTCCTGTCAGATGGCAGGTAAAGGAGGAAACTGGCTCTAGGGCCTACCCTGGACCCTGTTGTCCCAGTACACCCAGAAGCCAAGGAGGATGAATCCCTAAAGCTCAGCTAGGGATGGTAAAGGCTCTTCAGCCTTCTCCATAGTGGCTCTGTAGCCCTCAGGTTTCTCTATGACTGACTTTTTGGAGAAGCCAGAAAAGGAAAACCAAGAATCTCACTGAGGTGAACACATGCTTTATTTCAGCTTCACAATGGAGTGAGACAGTTTTTGGGAGGCACATCAACCTGCAGGTATAGATGAGGCTGCAGATTCTTTTCCGGGGCTGCTAGAGTAGAGTCATCTGGGGAGTGAAAGAAATGCATCACCCACTGTGTATATTTACCTGGATGGTTGGGGAAGAAACACTCATCAATCCACAGGGTGTGGTCACGTGAGGAGGGAGAGAATCAAGGCAAAGGGCTCCAAATGCCATGCCTCATTTCATTTTTCATATGTCAGTAATTGGTGCTGTCATCTTCCTGTTCGTGGTGTAAGGCTTGGTCTTTTCAGGACTGCTTCCTTGCTAAACCCTCCCGTCTACTCCCCAACACACTTTGTACTAATTAATGACATTTCATCGCTTGGTTTTGAAAAATGAAAGTGTGAACTACTTGTGAAAGAGCTCTTAGCAAGATAAGAAAGAAAAAAATGATTCCTTATCCCCCCAACCTATAGAAAAGCTGGTATATGTGTCTTAAGAATATGCATGAAAATGTTATTTCTAACAGGGAGAGTACAGCAAGCATCCACACTCCAAATATTGGGCTCCCTGCCTGCACGCAGGTCTTTGCTGAAATGTCACCTTCTCATTGTATCCGTTCTTGACAACCTGATTTAAAATTGTAATTTCTCCAAGCCTGCCGACAACCCTCTCTCTCTCCTTGCCTGTTTTACTCCTCTCCATGGCAATTATCTCCATCTGACATATATTTTACTTATTTTATTTTATGTTTATTTCCACTAAAATATAAGCTCCTGAGATTCTGAGAGCTGTGCTTCCATTGTGTCTTGAAAAGCGTCTGGCGCATACGAGGTACTTAATAAATTGTTACCGAATGAATGCTGCTATATTCTATGAAAGCACTTTAATTTCCAAAAGCCTGTACTTTGGGGTTTTTTTTCTTAATAATTTGTTGCCCTAGTAATATATTTAGACTGACATTTCTTTTTCTGAAAGTTATAAATACTTATGCAATTTTGTCCTTAAGCCAGAAGGATAATTAAAACTTTCCCTATTCTCCCATATGTATGCAGGTAAAAAGAAAATGGATGACTGTTAGATTTCTTATTTAAACACAGAGTTTGAGAACCTGGCTTTATTTAAATGAATACAAGCAACTGCATGTTGGCTTCCTTTGCCCCATCACTGGGGCTTTTTCCTATGAAGTCAAGCACGCTGGGTGGCATGCTGTTCTACTGGCTGGCTGCTGTCTTGGAGCCTGGGAGCATCCAGGACATGCCTTCGGAGAACCCCTGCAGTGTTTCTTGCACTTGACTATACACTGTTACCACTCATAAACATACGTGTTTGTGTATGTGTAAATTGCTAAAAAGCCCAAAAAGACCCTGTGGATTCTGCATTTTTGAAGAACACCGAAATCTTTTGGCGGTGGTGGTGACAAAGAGAGGGAGTTAGAAATCGCTCCCTTGCTTAGGAAAATGTGTTATCGTGGATTTTCATGGTGAAATAGCATGCCCCAGCAAGCCTGTTTGGAGAGAAGGTTTGCAAAATTCCTTTGTGAAATAAAATAGAAATGTTTGGCTTTTCCTTTGACAGCCTCAGACTCAGGGCCTGGGGCCTTGGGACTCAAAAGAGAAAAGGTGGAGAAAAGAGAAAATCTGCTATTCTCTTCATTTTGCCCCTACTAACATCCAATGTACTTAGGAGCCTCGATGTCTGCTCTCCCAGAGTAAGTTATGTGGTGTTCCAGAGTGCTCTCTAATCAACTCTTCGGAAAATCTTGTTATAGTCAATAGCATTTTTGTTTAGTGGGTAGACGAGGCTTGGAGAAAGCCTCTCAGAGGGCAGAGTCCGCTCCAGCCTTGTGCACCACTGTGTCCCTGGCATCCAGCTCAATGCAGGGTATGTAGCACTCACTCATACTTACTTCATTCACTCATTCATTTAATACATTTATTGAGTGTCTGGTATGGGGCCAAAGTTATTCTAAGTGCTGGAGTGAAAGCAATGAACAAAACAGACAAAAACTCATCCCTGCCACCAAGGACCTTGTATTCCAGTGGAGAGCCAGACATCAAAAAATAAACAAGTAAAATATGTAGCACGCCAAATAGTGATAAATTCTCTGGAGAAAACTGAAGCAGATATGAGAGAGGTACTTGCTGGAAGAATAAATAAAGTGCTCAGACAAAAAAAAAGCTGTATAATCGTATCATTTCAATTAACATTTTAGGGTAATGTATTGAATTGAAGAGTAGGAAAGGAACCTTGATTCTGAGTTTGTTCTCCTTGTCAGTATGGAAAATTTATTACTGAGCATGTATTGTCTCAGATACTGCAGTGGACGAAGACCCTAACTAAAGCAGAGAAATTTGGTTAGAAATTAATTTCTAATCTTTACACAGTGGCTCCTGCACCTCAATCCACTGCAGTGTTTTCTGGTACCTGTGTGCTCACTTTTGAATGCAGAGACTTGTGGCTATCAGATCTCAAGCCCCATTGCTGCCTCCGTATGAGTGTTAAGTCAGTGAAAATGGAAGAGACAAACTTGCACACTTTGCCTGACAGTAAAGATATATATGGGTGGTAAAGTCACCAACTCTATGGACCTGACAGAAACCCAGAGAATTTTTCTAGCTCTCATTATGCCAGTCCTGGACCCCTAGAGTTGCTACTCCAGTCAGGCCCCTGAGAAGGAGAGGAAAAGGTAGTGAATCCATGAACACCCACAGAGAATCTAAGGGAGTCCAACAAGAGACTACCTTTGATAAGCATCAGAAGGAGGGCATACGTGGGCCGGTCTCTCATGTTTCTCATGGTGTAGCCTGGGAGAAAAGCTGCCGACCTAGTAGGGGTGGTGGTCAGGAGTGCGAGTGGCAGTGGGCTGGGGAGCAGCTGCCTTTGTTCAGCCAGGGGAGCGAGCCATCTTGAGAGAAAAGCCTGGAAGCTGAAACTGCACTTGGTGTTTTAAAGCAGGGGAGAGGAGACAAGGGGAAGGAGTTGAAGACCTCACCTCTTATCCTTTCTTCTGGAAACTAGCCAAGGAGTCAAAAGCAACTTTTGCATGAGCAAAGATGATTGGACTTCCCATACCTGTTCCCAGCTATCCTTTACTTGAGATGTTGCTGTAGGTAAGATATTTCTTTATTACATTCCGCAGTCCCAGCCCAGTACCCCAGCCAGGACAATTAAACTTCCAGTCAGACCCAGATCCTGGCTCTCCTTCTATAAGCAAGCTGTCTAGCCTCTCTGAGTCTCAGTATCGTCACTTGTAAAACTGAAAGGATAATAATGACCTCACTGAGTTGTCATAGGATAAATGAGTCCATACCTGTAAAGTGGCTGTATTTTGTTGGTGCTCAGAAATTTAGTTCACTTTCTTCTCAATTATTCTTCCTTGCACTTTGCTTTTTCTTATAATAGGTAACATTTATTAAATAGCTACTATAGGCAATGCAATTTATTTAGTTTCTTTAATTATATATTTTACAACACAGTGAAGATAGAACTCTTAATTTCACAGATCCTAATTTCACAGATGAAGAGATGCAGATGATTTTAGAAGACAGTATGAAGCTTATGTCAGGATCACAAATCTCAGAAAACATTTGAGAGGTCATTTGGGACCACTGCTCTGTTGTCCCAGTTTTTTGACAAATGGTCACGGAGCATCAGTTTGAACAAGTTTGGTGGTGAAGGCACAGCCCCTGTTGTCTCTTCCTTCTGACACATCCTGGAGGTGGTCTTCTCTATGGGTCCATTTCCCAAATTACATGCTGTGTCCTCTGGTGTAACACCCAGAGTCTCAAATCTGTCACCCTCCCTTACTAACTGTGCTACTTTGGGCAAGTATTTTAGGTATTCTGTGCTTTGGGGTTCTATTTTGTAAAATGAGGACAAGAATAGAAAATGAATACTAGGGCTGTTGTGAAGATTAATCATATAACACACGTTGAGTGCTTAGAATGCTGCCTGGCATATAGTAAACACTCAACAGATGTTAGTTATTATTATAGCAGACATACAATTTTCTGGATTTGTCCAGATATTTTTTCCCCTCCTTCTCCTTAGAGACATTCTTCCCAGTATCTGTTAGAGGAGTCACTGGGGGTCTTGCTAGGAATCCATATTGCAGGCCTTATAAACCATGGCTCCACAACTTTGACATCTGCATAACCAGCTTTCCAGGTGTCATTCTTTTTCCAAAATTATGATTTCAAACTGGGAGAAGAATTGTATCCTCTTCATGTTGGAGATGTACTCCACCTTCCTGCTTATTATTTGTTCAAAGAAGGAGAATTAAATCTGAGTGGCAGGCAGTGGGCTTGATGAGTCATGATAGACCTTCTGTTTAAATATGTCCCGGGAAGGCTGGGTCCAAAACCCTTTCTAGATCATGGGGCTCAGAGTACTGTATCTGGATGGGAATTTGGGGACCTGACTTTGACCAAGGGCAGAGCCAGTATCCAGGGTCTTGCAGATCATTCAACCAAAGAAGCTTCCCAGTGGGGTGGGGCAGAGGCAGAGCACAGGTTCTAGGCCTATGTTGGGACCAGGCATCAGGTCAGAGCGGGTGGGTTTGGGATGAAGAGTAGAAAAGATAGATTTTTCTGAAGGTTTGGAATATAGCTGTTTGGGGAGATAAATGATAAGAGCTCATGGGAGCAGTCATAACTAAAATGCATGGAACAATGACACATTGTGACATATATATATAAAATGTGTATGCATAAAATGTGTATTATATATACGTGAAAGGTCAGGCAGAATCATGAGAGGAGAGATGATTGGGAAGACCCTTGGTAAAACAATGAAAAGCCCTGACTGAAACCAAGTAAGCTGTGGCAAGCCCTGTTAGCCTCTTTGTACTTCTGTGGAAGACGGGATATTTGACTAGAGGGGTTCGTTGAAGAACATTTTCTTTAGATATTGCCTGAAGTAGTCCAATGAAGCCTAAAAAATCAAATTTGGGTTTAAAAAATATTTTTACAACTGTATTGAGGTATACTTGATGTGAAATAAACTGTGCACATTTAGAGTGCACATTAGCCTAATCTAATGAATTTGATATGCCTGTACATCTGTGAAACCATCACCATAACCAAGTCACTGAAAATATCTATCACTACAAGTTCTTATAAGGCTATTTAATGAGGTAAGTGGTAGATGTTCTAGATGAGGACAGAAGGAAGGCTGATTTCTGCCACAGGTTCAGCCTTGGAGTAGAGAGCCCTGTCAATCATCTAAATCTGGAAAATCACATTGTTCAAGAGAAAAGTGCAGTATTAAATTGAGCTGTCCATAGAAGGATAAGGAAATGCTAGTTGAAGCAATTTTTCAGCATTTTGTTTCTAGCACATGTGGACGTAAACAGCTAGAGAAGAAAGGGAGGGCAAAATACCTTATCCCACTTGGGCCCAGGGGTACGAGGCTGCAGTGAGCTATGATCATGCCATTGTACTCTAACCTGAGTGACTGAACAAGAGCCCTGTCTCACAAACAAGACAAAACAAAACAAAACAAAAACAAGACAAAATATCCAGTCAGTAATCATCAAAACAATACAGCATGCTAGATATGGAGTCTTTCCTTCCACATTGGGGAAGATGACAGGTAGTGTACATATTTGATCTGAAGGAGGGAGATGAGCCTTCCTGCATTGCCAGTCCTTTTCCTATAGAATGCATAGATTCAGAGGCATGTGGCTGGGGAGAAACTGGATGTCACCCATAGTTGTACATTGTACGGTGCCTCCTTAATCTATGCTATACTCTAAGCACTTTGGCTCTGTGGGCAAACCTTTTATGAGGCTACAAGAAAATTGTTACCGTAGATGCTACAATTCATTTTTTTTTGGCTCTATCTCTCCTCTCTTCTGTTCCACTGGCGGCTGCCTATCTGAGCACCATGGGAGAGCATGGGCAAGCTGAGTGCCTGAGCCTGAAAGAAAGGTAGGAATAATAGCTTTCTCTGGTCCCCATTTCCTAAATTATTTATTCAAGAGAAAATCATGATCTTGTTGGAACCGCTGCTCTCCATGGATGGCAATGGTTTTTGAGGTGCTGAGAAGTAGAGCTGCAGCAGGGTGGTAGTCACTGGCACAGTAGTAAGACCCTTCATCTCTCTCCGATGCTGCAAGAATCTCAAGTACAGCCTGGTCCTTTTCAGGATCAATTTCACCTTGGAAACCATCCTTGAAACCGGGGCCATAGATGTTCTTTTCTCGGTATATGAAAGTCATTGTGTTACCTTGGGTCTTCCTGTACCAGCTGATGTAATAGTTAGTGATCGCTTCTCCTTTCATGGAGCACCTGAGGGTAGCAGGGTCCCCCAATGACACAGTCACTGTTTGGTGTTCAGGCACCAACTCAATGGCTGACATGGCTCCTGAAAGAAAAGACACAAGAGGAGAGCTCAGTGAGGGCTGGGGGCTGAGGTCATTGAGTAAGGGGCGCAGTCCATGAGTACCAGATCCTGGGAGCCTTGATGCTTCTTTGATGCTGAGTCTTGTCTGGCTAAAGTTCCGGGGTCTGCCTTACCTGCCCAGAAGAGGGAGAGATGGATGAGGGAGCAGAACCTCTCCATGGCTCACTTAGGGGCAGCTCTGCCTCCCAACTATCCTCTGGCTGGCCCCTCCTCTGAGCTGACACACTTGTGACACACTTGTGACTGAGGAAGTCAGTCCCTAATCAGCAGCTGTTTCATTCTCCAGAGAAGTGTAGCTGATCACAGGAGGCTCGCAGGGCCTGCTGCCTGTTAGTGGGATGACAGTACCACCTTCAAGACCGATAGTGTGATTCAGGTAAGTTAGGCCAACGGAGAGGAGGTTAAGGCAGGTTATTTAATTGATAACAAGGTTTCTGCCTCCTGTCCTAGATGTTAAATTTGATATTGCTGTTCCAGTTTCAAATGAGATGTTCATGTTAGACACTTTGTGATGATGTTAACAGTTAATGCCAAGAAGAATTATTGACATTTACAGTTGTAATCAAAAGAACCATCAAATGAGGAGATCGATAGTATATGCACCAAGACTCTGAAGATGTAATGATTGTTGTGTTCACTGCAAACTCCCTCTAGGCAAAGTTGGATCAGGGTTATTTACCCATGTGTTAAAGAGCAATCCAATGAAACATTGTCTTCCAAATGTGAACCAGAGTTTCCTGCTCCTTATTGAGCTCATCTATCTTCTTTTCTGAAGGGTTCTTAGGTTACCTATATTAAATTACACAAAGGAAAGTATTGTAAAAACTTAGAAACCACCACTACATCCCAACTTATGATAGGCTAAATTTACATGGACTTCAAAAGAGGGAAGTAGTTGGATTTTTGAGACCTACACCTTTGAGTTTAAAGGTCAATCTTTGAAATTTTGAAATCAAACAGGTAAATTAATAATGGGAATGAGAGAGTGCTGCAGAAGCTGGGAAGAGGGTCACTGGCAAGCGAAAAGGCACTAGCAAAGGTGGCATTCCATATTGGAGGGTGGGTGTGGGACTTACATAACCATTACATTCCCAGGTTAGTTGAGGAAAGACTCGCCTAAGCTTTCTTAAGTTCCCCGGTGTGACTAGGACCTGACTGCCCTGAAAAAAATCCAGATAGGAGCAGCTCAGGTTTCTTGATCCCATGGTAGTTGCTTTCCCGCCCACCCTTGCCTCGCCTCACCTTGCACAACTGCCCATCCCACCTACTGCTCTTGGAGGACTGTTAGCAAGTACTCAAGGTGGTCACATTCTTCGATGTTATAAATTGTATCCTTAGCACCCCGCTCCCCCGGCAGAACATAATGGTGTCTGCTGTCTATAGCTCTTTGAAAGTTGCTAAGGTCAATCTGGACTGAAATACTTGACCTTTTACTATCAGGCTGCCTAGTTCTTGGCACATCCTATAAACCTAGTCATTCTTACTACATGCTAGACCCTGAGGATTCAATGATGAATGGCAGACACGGTCTTTTCTCTCATGGAGCTTGTGTTCTAGCATGAGAGTCAGTCATCACTTAATGATTTGCATAATTCATTCCTCCATTGCAGCTGTAAGTATTCTGCAGAAGCAGGATTATGAGAGCATGTTTCAGAGGCCAGGTTTGGTTAGGAGGTCAGGGAAGGCTTCCCTGAAGAGAAAGTGGCATTGCAGTTGAGACTGAGTCTGTTTGCCCCTGCACATCCACTCTGCTTCCTGTTCTAGAGGCCTGACCTTAATTGGCAGCATCCACCTGCTTGTCCATTCCATTTGATTTGGCCAATGGAGACACCTTCAGGAGGCTGGAGGGAAGGAGGAATGAATTCATTCACTCACCTTCCTCCACTGGAAGCTACAGTTCCTCTTCCACAGCTGCAGGTTTCTGTAAAGGCTCCTCCCCTACACGCTTCACGTCTGGCGTGGCAGCAGTTCTTTGTTGCCAGCCTTGGATGTTTCGCCACCTTCTTTTTGGCCTCCTGTAACCCTTCTGTATTAATTTCCGATAGCGGCCTTAACAAAGTATCACAAACTGGGTGGTTTAAAACAATGTAAATGTATTGTCTCATAGTTCTGGAAGCTGGAAGTCTGAAATCAAGGTATCAGCTGGGACACGCACCCTCTGAAACCTGTAGGGGAAGCCTTCCTTGCCTCTTCCTAGATTTTGATGGTTTGCTGGAAACTCTGATGGTCTTTGGCTGGGTGCGCAGCTGCATCACTCCCGTCTTCGTCTGCACTGTGGTTTTCTCTCCCTGTGTGTCTTTGTCTTCACTTGGCTGTCTTACAGAATACCAGTCATATTACATTAGGGGCTCACCATACTCCAATATGAACTCATTTAAACTAATAACATCTGCAGTGACCCTATTTCCAAATAAGGTCACATTCTAAGGTGCTGGGAGTTAAGGCTTCAGCATGTCTTTCCTTGGGAGACACAGTTCAATCCGTAACACCTGTTCACACCTTTATAAAACTCTCTTTCATTAAACTCTCTCTAATCACCCCCTAGAGTGCCCTGTCTCCTGCTGCAACCCTGCCTAAAACAGGTATGGGCATGGGTAGGGAAATAACTTTCTGTGTAACAAATGAGGACATGCATAAAAAAGCCTTGAGGCAGAAAGAAGTACAGAGGGCTTAAAGCTGTATTAATATCAAAAGAGCAGTTAGCAGGGCTCAAATAAGCCTGTCTTTCTAGATAATTGTTGTTGAATTATCTCAAATTATTCAGGAAGTCATTCTGAAAAGGCCCAAGAATGTGTATTATGTTTATGACTGTGATTTATATCTTCCACTGGTTAGAGGTAATTTTAAGAATTTACTGTTAATGGCCAAAAACAACCTTCCTCTAGGCCTGACTGAGAGAGCTGGTGTGAACAATAAATCAAAGCCAGAGGGAGGAGACAGTACAGGAGAGGGCAGGTGATGATGTGGTGGGAGCTGGGCCAGAGTGCGGCTAGCGCTTCATCGGGTCAGGAACATCAGCTTGGCCTGGGCCTGTGGCAGGATAAGATGGAATTTAAACAAAAACACAGCCTGTCTTGGGGTGCCCAGGTGGAAGGTAGAAACATCCGCCAGGGCTCTGCCCTAGGACCAACTGTCCTCCGGCCCTGTGCAGGCTCTTTGTGCTCAGTCACTCTTCATGTCAAGGCCAGCAATTATGCCATAGTCTCCTTGGCCCTGTCAAGGGGATATCTGTCCCTTCATGTGATTTCTAGGAAAAACTAATTTTTTTTATACTCTGTAAAATAGGAGACGATAACTCATAGGATTTCTGTGAGAAATAAATGAAATTATACTCGTAAACACTTGGCTCATTGCTTAATGATGTTAATTTTCTCCTTGTCATACAAATAGCAATACCTGAGACTAGAACAGTTAGTAGGAGAGGCAAGAGTGGTTTTGGGGTCTTTATCAATTCTCCCCCATAATCTCCATTTCTCCAGAATTGAAGGTTTCCCATTCTTTAATGTCTTTCCTAATCTTATGTGCTATGAAAATACAGCCTTAAGGTAAGTTCCTGAGGCATCTTCCAACCAGGTTGCTATCTTCAGCCCCTCCTCTGCAGAAACTCGGAAGCTGCCATTGCATATTGTGTTGTATGATTTGTAAATGCTGCCTCACGTTTGTTATTTAGTCTGTTCTTATCTCTGGTGTAATCCCCCCAAAGCACTCACTGAACCCATACTGGTCTTCAAAAATTCTTATCAAAGTGAAATACTTTCTTCTGTCTACAGGAAGTCTGATCTGAAAGCATATTGCGGTCCACTACACACAGGAGCAAAAGAAGAGCAGGAAGGAGCACAGTGCCAAGATCATAGCCACAGGAAGGACACTAACTCTTAGGGCTGCAGCTCTAAAAACAGGCCAGGTCATTATAGGAATGTCTGCTCCCTTAGCCTTGCCAGACAGAGGGGGGTTAAGAAAGGAACTGCTGACTCTGATATGCAAACTGCCCCGGGTGCTTCCTACCTTTCTATCTGCATCAGATGGCTAGTGATGAATGGCTGTAAAGTTGATGTAATTTATATTTCATTTTCAGGGCCACAGTGCTGGTTGGTAGCACCAGACAAATCAACCAACAAACAGATTGAAAAGTGATGGAGAAAGCTGTGTTTTGGGCCTCATTGGGAACAGAATGGAAGAGCTGAGGGTGGAAGGGACCTTAGCAAGTCTTCAGATCCATGTTTCAACCTGCATTTCCCCATAACCTCAAGCAGAGAGTTGCTTTTCCTGTTCTTCAAATGAGTTCCTTGAATTCACACTCTATTTCTTTGAATTTGCACAGACTGTTGAGGAACAGGAGGCGGGGTCACGCTACCACTGCTCATACAAACCTGGAAGAGAAAAATTTTACATAGAATACTGGGCTGGAAGAGGCCTGGGAACTTGGGGATCCCCTTTCTGCACTGCCCCCACTCTAGATTTCAAGAGGCAGCTATGCTGCAGTGGAGACCACTGAATTTAGATTCAGAAATCTGAGTTTACACCTGACTCCTCCTCTTACGTGCAAGTTACTCACCACACCAGGCCTCGGTTTCCTGAACAATAAATGGGGATAGCATTGGCCCATGTGGTTGTTGGTGGCCATGAAATTACGCACAGGAGCACACCTTATACTCTAAGTTAGACCTGCACTAACCTGGATTAGCTGACGAGGGTGGAAGGTGGGAGGGGTGGGCTTCAGTGTGTGACTTACCTAGAGGCCCAGGAGAGTCACGTTGAATAGGGCAGCACTTATGAGTCCTCTGCTTTCCCAGTGTGGCTCTGAGAATCTTCAGGAAGAATTGGCTGGTTGAATTCTCAACTCTACCAAGAAAGATGTGCTGGAGACCAGGACCATAGAAGTCACCTTGTTGATGTACAAGAATCAGGAAGCCATCTCGGGTCCTCTTTACCAGCACATATTGTAATTATTCTTCTTCTCCCCTGTCAATTGCCACTGGAAAATTTTGCTTCTTCTAAAAGGAAAAAATGTCTCTAGCTCTTGTTGCTCCAACAGGGTGTCTGGCTTGATTCCTAAAATAAATAAACAGATTGATATAATAAGTAAATCAAGGTAAAAGGAAGATAGAGAAATTGAAGAACCACATCAGAGTATCAGGGACTGGGGTACCAGTGTGGGAACCACCTTCCTTTTCAGTTTTCCCACAAACTCTCCCTGGGACAATTTCATCAGAGGAATCATTCATTCATTCATTCATTCA